GACCACCTAATTATGGATGCAGAGGTCAGAGTTTGCAAAGGAGAGAACAGTGGCTTTGGAGGGTCTCTGGTGCTCAGTCCGACGAAGCCACCCTCTCAGTTTTTTGCATCCCTAACTTGAGGCAAATCCATGTTCAGGCCTCGGCACTTGCAGCTGAGAACTATGTGGGCACGACTGTGTGCCATGCTGTCCTGTGCTGTACTTTCAAACGTACTTTTACACATTTAAAAATTGTTTACATTTTTATAGGGGCTTGCTATGTTGCCAGGCTGGTCTCGAACCCCTGGCCTCAAGTGATCCTCTTGCCTCGGCCTCCCAAGGGGCTGGGATTCCAGGTGTGAGCCACCGTGCCTGGCCAGAACATGCTTTCAAATTGCAGCAATTGATGTGACAGATCAGGTTCAATCCTCCTGGTTTCGGGAGCGAATCGGAATAAATCAGGGCACGCGCTGAGTCATTTTTAACGCTATGCCAAGGTTTGGTACTACTAGCTGGTGGTGTGTCTGTCTTGGTGGAGAGATCTGTGGGGGGGCCCAGCGTGTTCCCATGTTTGTCAGACTGTGATATCAGAACCTGCTCACAGGTTGGGCGCGGAGGCTCACGCCTGTCATCCTAGCACTTTGGGAGACTGAGGTGGGCGGATCGCCTGAGGTCAGGAGCTCGAGACCAGCCTGGCCAACATGGTGAAAGCCCGTTTCTACTAAAAGTACAAAAATTAGCCAGGCGTAGTAGTGGGTGCCTGTAATCCCAGTTACTGGGGAGGCTGAGGCAGGAGAATCGCTTGAACCCAGGAGGCAGAGGTTGCAGTGAGCCGAGATTGTGCCATTGCACTCCAGCCTGGGTGACAGAGTGAGACCCTGTCTCCAAAAGAAAAAGGAAAGGAAAAAAAGCCTGCCCATGGTGGAAAATCCACTTGGTGTTGCATCCAACTTGCGAGTTTTTCTTCCAGGTTGTATGTAAACTGGAGGTTTATGAGAGGAATTGAAGCCCAGTTCTTAGCTCTGCAGAAGGGGTTCAACGAGCTCATCCCTCAACACCTGCTGAAGCCTTTTGACCAGAAGGAACTGGAGGTAGGTGCCTGCCGTGCAGAGTTGACCCAGGGCGTTCGGGGGTTCCCTTGTGGCTGGCGTCTGCCTGTTTTAAATCCTTGCTGCGAGGGGCGGCGTGTGCCGTTTCCTAGTCAGCCTAGGAGCTGTTGGGGTTCCCAGACTAGAGCAAGAGTGGGGAGTAGAGGGTGTTTATGCCAGTTGGTAACCGGCGAGATGTCTGCCTGGCGGTAGGAAATCTGAATAGTTCCGGAAAACCATTCAAGGTGGTTGTGGCTTCCCTTGTTTTCAGGGTATCTAGCCCGGGAGAACCAGGTGCTCCCACAGCAGTAACTTACTGCTTTTTATTCTGGCTGTTCCTAGACTAAGAACAAGGGGCTATTGTATTCTCTAGTCACACACATGCGCTTGAACACGGTGATTCATTCAGCCCTTCTCCATCTCTCGTGCCAAACAGCTCAAGCCTTGTAGATTGTTCTCCAAGTTTTTCTGCTGCCAGTGAGGAGAGCTTGGGAGCCAAGAGCTTGGATGGAGCAGTAGTTCTGGGGTGAACGTTTGTGTTTTCTTTCTTTTGAGACAGTCTCGCTCTGTTGCCCAGGCTGGAGTGCAGTGGTGCAATCGTGGCTCACTGCAGCCTCGACCTCCCAGGCTGAAGCAATCCTTCCACCTCAGCCTCCCAAGTAGCTGAGGCTACAGGTGCCCGTCACCATGCCTGGCTATTTTTTGTATTTGTTTTGCCATGTTGTCCAGGCTGGCCTTGAACTCCTGGGCTCAAGCAATCCGCCCAACTTCGGCCCCCACAAAGTGCTGGGACTACAGGCGTGAGCCACCGCACCTAGCAGAGGGTGAACTTTTTAAGCCAGTTGCACAAACACGCCCCATCAGCCCCAGCCCCACGTAACTCTTGCGGAATTCTCCTCTCTTCAGACTCGAAACTCCACATGTCCTTGAGTGTCCTGGAGAGACCCTGGGACGTGCCCTTGTTCATGGTGGTAGCTCCGTTCAGTGTCACCCATTGGTGCTTTGATACTGTTCACCCATGCAGAGCAAACACCCCGCTCTGGTTACAAGATAACGTCCCATCAGCAGCTGTGCACTGTGCTCCTTGGGGTTGGAGACCCGTCTGGAGGCGGCGGACGGAAGCGTGTACCACAGGCCTCCTGTGTGTAGCTTTCTTCCCATCTCAGCGTCTGCCTAGTTTATTTAGACACAGCTGCTGCTTTGCTTGGGAACCGACTTTTCACTCGTGTGTGTGTCGGGTACCTAGGAGGCGCATCCTGACATGGGTTTATACATTTTGGAAGTAACTCACCTTTCTGCACCTCCTCAGCTGATCATAGGCGGCCTGGATAAAATAGACTTGAACGACTGGAAGTCGAACACGCGGCTGAAGCACTGTGTGGCTGACAGCAACATCGTGCGGTGGTTCTGGCAAGCGGTGGAGACGTTCGATGAAGAAAGGAGGGCCAGGCTCCTGCAGTTTGTGACTGGATCCACGCGGGTCCCGCTCCAAGGCTTCAAGGCTTTGCAAGGTGACTGACGTGGAGGCAGGGCTATTCGATGGCGCGTCTGTGGGGGCTGTGTTCTGTACTAGGCTGTGGGCCGAAGAGCTGGAGGGTGGCTGGGATGTTTTTCTGAGACGTGTGCTAGCAAATGGCATAAGGAATGTTCTCCAGTAGCTAATGCTCTGCCCTGCAGACGCCATGTGTGAGCAGGCGTGGGGCCCCGCTGAGCAGAGACTGTGGAGCCACTCCAGGGCACGTGGATTCCCCCTCCTCACTGCTTCCAAAAAGCCAAGAGGGTCTGGCCAGCAGAGGCCTTCAGAGTGTCTGTGAGGCCAGCTTAGCCAAGACCCCGGGGAGGGAGCTCTGGGGGAACCGCCGCCAGTCTCGGTGGCTCCTGGAGCTGCACATGAACCCCTGTTCAGCCACAAACCACACCGAAAGATGATGTCATGCTCACTCTGTTTAAGCCACTGAGGGAAAGGTGCCCGTCTGCCTGTAGGCCCAGCGGCCTAATGTCTCATCTTTTATACTGAGGGTTCGGAGGGGATGTTGCTGGAAGGAGTGAGGTGAACGGTGTCACCATACTGAAATTTAGCTGATTGAACTGTAAATGCGGATAGACACACAGACACATTGTGAACACAGAATATTGCCTCTGCCTCGCTGAGTAAAAGGAGGTTAATTCCATTTCAGTCGGCTTTAGCCATCAGGGCGCCTTCGACTTTTCCATTGTGACCTCTGCCTATGGATTTGCTGCCAGGGGCCTGGCCTGAATACAAAGGGTTTCGAGGCTGAGCCCTGCTCGCATCTGGGAGCCTCTGTCTGCTTGACCAGCCTGACCATGACAGCTGCTCCCAGAGCGTGCTGGTGCCTGTCATTTACAAAGCCTTTCTCATTCCGTTCTCCCAACAACCCAGAGAGCCTGGCTGACGAGGATTATTAGCCCCATCCCATGGAAGAGGAAGCCGAGACTCACTGAGGCCATGGGATTTATTATCCCCCCAAGGGGAAGAAACAGGCAGGTGTGAACGGCGAGGCAGGGCAGGAATCCAGGCTTCCTGACCAAGTCTTTTCTCATGGCGCCATTGTCTTGCCCACAGCAGGTCCACGTGCTAAACGTTCCCGCTTAGAGATGGTCCCTGTCGTCATAAGGGTCTCACTCGTCCCCCAATAATTGGATAGACTTTAGCCCAGTGTCCCCGAAGTGTCTAGAAGGTGGGTCAGAGGTGAACAGGGTCACAGTGCAGAACAAGGAGTGCTGGTGCTGTGGGAGGGTGGCAGGGCCGGGCAGAGTGGCCAGGGCCCTGCAGGAGGTCTCTGAAGCCCCCCACGTGGCGCAGCCTGTCCTGACTCCCCAGGAGGTTGGGGCTTGGAGGGTGTGGCCTGCGAGGGGGAGGAACCAGCTTCCTGTCCCTGGTCCCCAGGAAGCAGGAGGCTGCCCTCTGAGACCCTCTGCCCAACAGAAAGATGGTGTCTCTGCTGGTCCTCACTGCTCCTGGATTCCTGTCCTGCCGCTGACCTTGGCCCAGCTTGAAAGGAATCTCTGTGAATACACAGGAGCAAGGGGCGGCAGAGCCAAGGCCCGTGACCTCTGTGCCCTCCTTTCCCGGCGCCCGGCAGCCCTGTCAGCTAGCTGCTGGCCAGCCTGGTGCTCACTTGGGGCTGAGTCTGGAAAGACCTGAGGAAGAAGGGGCCTGGTGCCTCTCCCTGCCCCACAGAACTGGTGGGCAAGTCGTCTGTTCCAGAGGGTGGGTACAAACAGTGCTGACCCTCAGGGAGCCTGTCTGGAGCAGGCTCATGGTCAGGGTGCACTTTAGGAGGGGCCTTAGCAGTTCTTGCTCTGCCCCCTGCAGGATATTCTAAAATGTTGGAATTTTGGCCAAGTGTGGTGGCTCACACTGGTAATCCCAGCACATTGGGAGGCCGAGGCGGGTGGATCACTTGAGGCGATCCAGGAGTTCCAGACCAGCCTGGGAAACACGGCAAAACCCCGTCTCTACTAAAAATATAACAATTAGCCAGGCGTGGTGGTGTGTACCTGTAATCCCAGCTACTTGGGAGGCTGAGGTAGAAGAATTGCTTGAACCCGGCAGTCAGATGTTGCAGTGAGCCGAGACTGCCCCACGGCACTCCAGCCTGAGCAACAGAAACCCTGTCTCAAAAAAATGTCTGCATGTTGTCACTTTGATGGGCATTGCAGGCATGTCCTAAAACCGGGCCTGGGAACCTCATGGCCCTATCACAGGACAGCCTGCCTGGGTGTAGGGGTGGGAACATGGTCAGGGCCCTGGTTCCTGGGGGCCGTGTGGCCGGGAAGTGCCACAGCTGTGCCTCTGAAGTACATTAACTAGAATGTTGTCTTGTAAGGTTCTACAGGCGCGGCAGGGCCCCGGCTGTTCACCATCCACCTGATAGACGCGAACACAGACAACCTTCCGAAGGCCCATACCTGGTAAGCACCGTGGCCAGGAAGTCACGGCGTCCTGGGAGCCCCGGAGGATGCCGACGTTCACGTTCGTTTTGTTGTTTTTCTTTTTTTGGAGATGGAGTCTCTGCTAAAATATTTCTGTCATCATCAAAACTCAGAAGCCACAGCACCTGAGACACAAGGAGAAATTCGAGAGTTGAATGACAATTCTGAAGCCCTCAAGCAAGCAACTCTTCCCCCAACATTACAACGCTGTACAGAGTGGCTTTACTGGCCATGCAACAAAATATCTATAAGAGGGCCAACATTATTGCTAAACTTCACATAAAATCTTACAGTATATATAACCTAAAACTTAAATACAGATTTTCTCTTGATTTAGTTTTTTGTTTTTTTGAGATGGTCTTGCTTTGTCACCCAGGCTGGAGTGCAGTGGCACAATCTTGATTCAATGCAACCTCTGCCTCCTGGGTTCAAGCTATTCTCGTGCCTTGGCCTCCCAAGTAGCTGGGATTACGGGCACCCGCCAACACGCCCGGCTAATTTTTGTATTTGTAGTAGAGATGGGGTTTCGCCATGTTGGCCAGGCTAGTCTGGAACTCCTGGCCTCAGGTGATCTGCCCGCCTCGGCCTCCCAAAGTGCTGGGATTACAGGCATGAGCCGCCAAGCCCGGCCTCATGTTATTTTTGTAAAGCTGTTTTCTGATTTGTAGGACTCTGTTTCATTTATGCCAAGTCTCAATGACTGGCAGTAGTGCTTGTGCTAGATGGGACGAGTACGGTGCAGCACGCCACACAAAGGTTGTCTCAGTATCTTATGAAACTAATTTTGTCATGAGCCATGTCATTAATTAACACTGGTGTTTCAGTGGAGTGTGGCTACCACTCCAGCAGGCTCACATCTTCCTCTCTGCCAGGTCTTATGCACACACACCTGTTGGTAAGGAAAATAGTCTAGTTTTGGTCTTCACTTTATCTGACATTTCTGGGTCCCCATCTTCTTGGACTCCTGCTTATGACGCACGCACCTTGCCTACTGCAAATATTTTCTTCCTAAATTTTAACTTAAAAATGAGTCTCCATACTAGAGTATTTCCTGTATGGCTTAAACATCCAGTCACTTGCACGCACTTTGTCCTGGAACCATCCATCGAGACGAGTAGCTGCGTTTCCTTGGGGGAACCAGTTCTAGGTGCTGTTGAGATGCCCAGTGAGGTGATGGAAGGTTCCTGTCTTGGAAACCAAGGATGCGGGATCAAATGCTAGCTGTGACACCCTCTGACATGTGATTTGGGGCAAGTGACTTCATATTCTAACTTGGTTTTCCGCACTTGTGAAATGGGGTAATGCAGCTGGTCCTGGACCGTGGTGCTGGGTGCCAGGGTCCTGCTCCGAGCGTGGCTGTGGCATCCGTTACGGGAACGCACCATATTGGCTGTGCACACCTACTCACAAGGCTTTTGTCCTTTAGCAGTTTAGTGCTTGGTGTTAGATGCATGTGGAAAGTATGCTCTGAAGCACAGAAAAAAGAGTGCCCACCCTGGAACTCAGCTCTGTAGAGACAGACACGCTCCGTAACTGCTTACCCTAGGAAGCCAGGAAGTCACTGTACGTCCTCAGGTCACAATTTTGTATTTTTTGGTTTGCTATCGTAGCTTCTTAAAGGATGTCTTTTTCTTTGTACAAATACTGGAAACGAGTTTCCCCCTGGAAATATCGAGTCAAAAGTTGAGTATTCATTTCATCTTTTAAGGATTTGTCATCTTACTAGTTTTGAGATTTTGTTTTTGCAAGGAATTTTCCAGACTGCCCCATTTTGGTCTCAGATCAAGTCCCAGAGGAACAGACAGACACGCAATACATCGTTAGTGGTGACGCTGCCTGACAGCCAGTCTGGGTTACAGGGGCTGCCAAAGAGGCATTCCTAGCACAGGGAAAGAATTTCTCCCACAGACAGACAAACAAAAACAAGCGGAGAGCTTTGTCCTGATAGAAGCCGTGAACAGTAATTTGGTGATGTTTTGGTTGTCAAGGCTCAAGACTGACTTCACTGTGTGTTGACTGGGCACAGTGGCTTAGGCCTGTAGTCCCAGCATGTTGGGAGGCCAAGGCAAGAGGTTCACCTGAGGCCAGGAGTTTGAGAGCAGCCTGGGGAACCTAGCAAGACTCTGTCTCTACCAAAAGGCAAAAACGAATTACAAATCTTTGTATTAGAGGCAGAAAAGCACAGGGGGACATGGAGAACTCACCACCACTCCTGCTCCGCCCCCCATTCCTCTCCCCTCCCACACACACTTCTCGCTGCCTGTCCTTGGCCTTGAGGTTGGTCCCAGGGCTGGACTGCCCACCCAGTGACTCTTACTCTTTTGTCCTTTTTCAGCTTTAACCGGATCGACATTCCACCATATGAGTCCTATGAGAAGCTCTACGAGAAGCTGCTGACAGCCGTGGAGGAGACCTGCGGGTTTGCTGTGGAGTGAAAAGCAACCAAAGGCAACAGAGTCTAGCTCATGGCCACCAGACCAAAAGCATCCAGCTTCTGTGCGCCTCCTGCAAAGCTGGCAGAGGCCCTGGAATTCCGGATCACCTGAGGGGAAAAGGGTTGTCTCTCTCCTTTCTGTTGGGGGAGGGGGATGGGGGACTTTTGTTGGTGGCTGCCACCCATATATCTCTCCCTTATTATAGTGCTCCCACCCGCTTCCACCACCCAGCCAATCAAATGCAGCCAGGGTTAGCCTTTGGCTTCGGTCACACAGGATATTCTGCTGTGGTTGCAACCCATGTGGTGATAAGGCTCACGGCCCTGAGCTCTTTACGGGAGCATCAGCCCACAGTTAGGGGACTGAGTGTGGCTGGCTGAGGGTTTGGAACTGGTGGCTATCCCCGCTGTTCCATCTCAAATAGCCTTGAGGCCCCTTTTCAATTTGAGCAGCTGCTAGATATCTTACCAGAGCTCAGATTCCAGATTTCACATCCCAGCAGCCTGTTCTGGGCAGCAGATGAATTTCCAACTGAAAAATAACTGCATAACGTATGCTTATTGGAATTCTGCCACAGCAGGAAGCTTGAGTCAAAATGTGTTTCCCCTTTGAAAGGAGAAGGAATTGGAGCAGCTTTTCCTGGAGCCAGGATATTTCTTTGCTGGGTATCTTGGCTGAGAATTTTTTACGTAGAGAAAAACCATCTTTTAAGGGCCCCTTTTGCTGCATTATCTGTCCAGTTTGACTTTTCTTTTCAGTGAAAACACCATGTCACGGAGTGTAGAAAAGAGCAGACCAAAATCAGCCCTAGAGCCAACCAGTCAGTCCCAAAGCTGTGACCTCTGTGCCACTGTTGTCCATAGAAGAGCATCAACTGTGTCACTTAAAATATTAGTAAACCCTGATGCGGCAACTGCTAAGAGCTAAACTAACAAAATTGTGTTATCATAGCTGCTGGCTGGGTGCGAACTAGCTTAAAAGCAATGGTGAAAGGATAACCTCGATGATGTAAATCCACCCAAAGATACTATTCTACAAAAAGTAGGGTGTGGACGCAAACCTGTGACTGCAGAGGGGGACGGCTCCACACTGCCTCATGTGGCCCCTTTCCCAGTGGCAGCTGGTGACACTAACGATTGCTACTCGGTTCACTTGCCCAGATGTCTTCGTGTGATGAGCAAGGCCAGAAGCAAGCCTAGACTCAAAGTTTCTGACACCATTTCCAGTTTGCACAGAAGTCAAACAGTATTTTATCTTAAAGTGGCTTGATTTCCAGTAGCTGAACTTGGCCAGAAAACAGCAGCAGCAACCAATGTTCCTGTATGGTTTCTTTGTTGTTTTTGTTTGGGGTGGGGGCAAGTACAGGGTAATTGATGAGCAAGACATTTCACTGCTGTCGAAGTCTCTGGGATCCCGCGGTGGGTCTGAGATGGCCTGGGAAGGACCTTGTGGACGACGGTTTTATCTGTTCTTTTTGTCACTGTTAACTTCTGGGCTGCTGAGGTTCTAGAATGGAAGGGCTGCCAAATGAGGTTTGCTGCAGGAGGAAAGTGTAATCCCCCATTCCAGAAGTCCAGGCCCAGTGGCGGGCTTAGCCTCTTTGAAAAGCTCTGCCTTGCCCCCCCAGGTGGGCGCATCCTGTGTCTCATTCACCATGATGCTTCCTGAAGGTGTTCTAGAAGCCCGTTTCCCAGTGGCTCTATCCAGCCTTTCCTTGCATCCTCCTCTTGAAGGTGAGGAAGTGAAAACTACAGCCCTCCCCCGGAGAGCCCACTCTCTTATCACGAGCCTAACCCGCGGGAGGCAGAAGAGACATCCATCCGAGAACTGAAGTGGCCTCCGGGATGAGGTCGGAGGCCCCACCTGATTTTCCTGGTGGTTGGTATCCAAAATCTGCAGTAACTAGGAAGGAAACCAGGGTCTCATGGTTTAAAAGACTTTGAAGCAGGAATGTTGCATTTGACGCCTTTAAAACTACCTTTTTGCTGTTGGGAGGAGTCGGGGGCGAGCCTTAGCAGCTGCACCGCCAGCCCCATGCTGGTCGGTGCTGCCCTGCCTCTCGTGCCGGGTGTTGCTTCAGCCCAGAGCCAGAGGGCTGGGTCCCGGGTCCTCCACAGGTGGCCCCGGCGGACACATGCATTCCCGTCCCGGCCCCCGTCTCTGCTTTTCCACCTCCACCTGCGTGTGGGTTTGCCGCCTTGTCATCGGTCGTGTGAGTGTCGCAGACCTTTCCAGAGCTCCGGTTCACTCTTTCCAAACAGGCCTCCCTGTCGGTGGCATCGCACTCCCAGAACCTTCAGTTTCTACGATGGTTTGTTTGGTCCTTTTGAACCACCCCAAAGAACTCAATATGGCAAGCAAATGGTAAAAGCTTCCCGACTGTTGGACTTTGGGTCTGCGCGAAGCCCATTCACGTGTGATCTGTGTCGCCCCTCTCGGTGGTCCCAGGCGATCCAGCCATGCCCCCTGCCCCTCTGCCCAGATGCTTCAGGGGCCCGGCTTTTCAGGCTTGCCCTCACCAGCGGCCGTCAGCCGACACTCAGGGATGTAGCAAACACCACTCCGCCAGTGCTTTTGGTAGGAAGAGCTGAGGCTGCCTGGGAGGCCCGGGGCGACAGGAAAAGGGCTCTCTCCAGTTCTGAAAAGAGAATCTGCCACCAGATCGAATTTCGACCCCTGAGCTTGTTCAGACATGTGGTCCGAATTCAGATTAAGGTGGTCACCCAGTCCGAGATGTCAGGAAAGGCCTTCTGCAGAGAAAATGTCCCCCTACCCGCCATCTGCAGCCAGGTGTGTGCCGCACGGCAGCCTTCCCGAAACATAGTATCGATTTTAAAAATGTGTTTATTTTTGTTTCTCAACCACTTTATAATGTATTTTTTAATTTATTTTGTAATGTCTTGTTTTTAAGTATTGCTGCTATCCTTGTTATCCTTCCCACGGTTTTTATCGCTGATTTATTTTGTGAAAGTTGTACACTAATGTTCTGTTTTATGTCAAAATCAAAAGTATTTAATGAAATACTAGTTCTATTTAATGTGGTTATGGAACCAGCTGGAAACACAAAACAAACAGTGATTGTACAGCAGGCTGGGCCCAGGAGGTCAGGTTCATTTTGTTACATATGCAATAAACTCACGACTTTACATTTTGGGCGTCTGTTATTTTGGTGTGGAAATGAGATTCCAGTGTCTCTGCAAACCCACAAGAAAGGAAGTGTGTAGGCAGGAATACTGGCAAGGGCCTTCCAAGGGAAAAGGACAGAGTTAAGGATAGAATTATAAGGGAAACTAATGACAATATGGCAGTGGGTTGAAAGTGCTCTACCAAGCAAAAACATGGGACTGAGAACATTTAGAATTTCTTTGCGCACTGGTTATCTTTTCGTTTTTCCCCTCATTTTTCTTTATTTTTTTGAGATGGAGGCTTGCTCTTGTCACCCAGGCTAGAGTACAGTGGTGCAATCTCGGCTCACTGCAACCTCTGCCTCGCGGGTTCAAGTGATTCTCCTGCCTCAGCCTCCTGAGTAGCTGGGATTACAGGCGCCTGCCACCACGCCCGGCTTATTTTGTATTTTTAGTAGAGATGGGGTTTTTCCATGTTGGTCAGGCTGGTCTCAAACTCCCGACCTCAGGTGATCTACCCGCCTCGGACTCCCAAAGTGCTGGGATTACAGGCATGAGCCACCGTGCCCAGCCTCTTTAACTTCTTTATACAGTATTTTGTTTTCAGCAGACAACTGGCAAGTCTTGCACCTGCTTGGTTAGCTTTATTCTTTTAGATGCTATTATAAACATAATTGCTTTCTTAAGTTCTTTTGTGGATATTCATTGCTAGTATATAGAAACATAACTGCATTGTTTGTCGATCTCGTACCCCAAAACTGCAAAAATTCACTTCCTAGCTCTAGTGGCTTTCTTGTGAATTCTTTGCAATTTTCTCTCTGTAGGAGATAGCTTTACCTGTTCCTTCCAACTTGGATGCCTTTTATTTCTTATCTATTAGCTCTGGCTTATACTTTTCCAGTACAATGTTGAAAAACTGTGGTAAAAGTGGGAATATTTTTGTTTCTGATCACAGAAGGAATGTTTATAGTAAAACGCCCTTCTGTATCAGTTGAGATGTACATGATTTTTTCCCTCTTTTCTATTAATGTGATGTGTTACATTGATTTTCTTACGTTGGGCCACCCTTCCCTTCCTAGGACAAATTCCACTTGGTTTTGGTGAATAATCCTTTTAATACGGTCTTGGGGCCGGGCGTTGTGGCTCACGCCTGTAACCCCAGCACTTTGGGAGGCTGAGGTAGGTGGATCACGAGGTCAGGAGTTCGAGACCAGCCTGGTCAACACAGTGAAACCTTGTCTGTACTAAAAATACAAAAATTAGCCGGGTGTGGTGGCAAATGCCTGCAGTCCCAGCTACTCAGGAGGCTGAGGCAGGAGAATTGCCTGAACCTGGGAGGTGGAGTTTGCAGTGAGCCGAGACTGCGGCATTGCACTCCAGCCTGGGTGACAGAGCAAGACTCCATCTCCAAAACAAAAAAAGAAAAAAAAAAAGCTGTTGGATTCAATTTGCTAATATTTTGTTGAGGATTTTTACATCTATATTCATAACGGATATTGGTCTATAGTTTTCTTGTAGTGTTTTTCTCTGGCTTTCAAATCACAGTAATCCTAGCCTCACAGAATAAGTTAGGAAGCATTCTTTCCTTTTCAACTATTTGGAGGAGTTTGAGAAAGACTGGCATTAATTCTTCTTTAAATGTTTGATAGAATTCACCAGTGAAGCCATCTGGTCTTGAGCTTTTCTTTGTTGGGACGTTTTTGATTTTTGATTCGATCTTCTTACTAATTGTCAGCCTATTCAGATTTTCTGTTTCTTCACGATTCAGTCTTGGAAGGTTGTAGAGTTCTAGGAAATCCATTTCATCTAGGTTATTCAATTTGTTGGCATACAGTCGTTCATAATACTCTTATAATCCTTTATAGTTCTGTAAAATTGGTAATAATGTCCCCTCTTTTCTTTTAGTTGATTCTTCCTTCTTAATCATCTAAAGTTTTGTCAATCTTGTTGATCTCTTTGAAGAACCAACTCTTAGCTTCACTGATTTTTCTCATTTGTCTTTTATTTCCTCTGCTATAATATTTATTTTCTTACTTCTGTTAGCTTTGGGTTTAGTTTGTTCTTTTTTTAGTTTGTTCTTTTTGGGTTTAGTTTGTTCTTTGTTCTTTTTGTTCTTTTTTTTAGTTTGTTTTTTTTGGGGTTTAGTTTGTTCTTTGGGTTTAGTTTGTTCCTTAAGGTATAATGTAGAGGTTGTCCATTTTTAACCTTCTTTTTAATATAAAGATTTACAGCTATAAGTTTCCTTGGTCATGGTGAATAATCCTTAGCACTGCTTTCGCTGCATTTGTTAAGTTTTGGTATGTTGTGTTTTGTCTCAAGATATTTTCTAATTTCCCTTGTGATTTATTCTTTGACTCATTGGTTATTTGAAAGCATCTTGTTTCATTTCCACATATTTGTGAATTTCCCAGTTTCCTTCTGTTACTGATTTTTAGCTTCATTCTGTTGTGGTCAGAGAAAATACTTTGTGTGACTTCAGTCTTCTTAAATTTATTGAGACTTGTTTTATGACCTCTCTGGAGATAGTATATTCTGGAGAATGTTCCATGTGCATTTGAGAAGAATGTGTATTTTGCTGTTGTTGGGTGGAGTGTTTTGTGTATGTTTGTTAGGTCCAGTTGGTCTATAGCGTTGTTCAAGTCCTACATTTCCTTATTGATCCTCTGTCTAGTTGTTCTATTAATAATTTATTGAAAGTGGGGTACTGGGCTGGGTGCAGTGGCTCATGCCTGTAATCCCAGCGCTTTGGGAGGCTGAGGCAGGCGTTCACTTGAGGTCAGGAGTTCGAGACCAGCGAAACCCCGAGTGTGGTGGCACATGCCTGCAATCCCAGCTACTCTGGAGGCTGAGGCAGGAGAATTACTTGAACCTGGGAGGCAGAGGTTGTAGTGAGCTGAGATTACACCACTGCACTCCAGCCTGGGTGACAGAGCAAGACTCCATCTCAAAAAAAAAAGTGGGGTATTGAAGCTTCCTCCTTTTATAATGGAGCTATTTCACCCTTCACTTTTGCTGTGAGTCTCTCTGGGTTTATCCTAGTTGAAATTTGTCGAGGTTCCTAAATTTGTATATCCATTTCTTTCTTCCAATTTGGGAAAGTTTTGTCCATTATTTTTTTCAAATAAGCTCTGTCCTCTTCCTGTCTCTCTTCCCTTTCTGGAACTTCCTAAACTGGACACCTTGATGTGTCCTAAAAATCCCTTGGGCTCTATTTTTTTTTTTTTTTTTTTTGCTCCTCCAATTCAGTGATTTCAAATGATCCATTTTCTAAGGTCTCTGATTCTTTTGCCTGTTTGAGTCTGCTGTTGAACCACTGTATTGAATACTTCAATTCATTTATTGTATTTTTCAGCGCCAGAATTTGGTTTAAATAATTTCTGTTTTTGGTTGATATTCTCGTTTTGTTCATACATCACTATCCTGATCTCCTTTAGGCCTTTCTCATGTTCTCCCATAGATCTCTGAGCATATTCAAGACAACTGTTTTCAAGTCTTTTCTAACAAGTCTGATGCCTTGGTTTCTTCAGGGATGGTTTCTAGAGATATATTTTGTTCCTTTGAATGGGACATGTTTTCCCGTTTCTTGTGTATCTTTGTGTTTTTTTTTTTTTAAACTGGGCATTCGCAAAAGCAGTCATGTCTTCCAGTCTTTGAAGAGTGGTGGGGAAAAGCTTCACTAATTCAGAGCGCATATCCTAATACCTCGTATCAGCTTGAGGTGACAGCGTAAGGTCATCTCAGATCTTTTAGGGGCCTCTGTTTTTTCTTTGGCTTATACCATATACATGGCTGCTTTTAAAAGTCTTAATTTCTCAAAGGGTCTTAACCCAGCTGCTTCTTAGGAACAAGATGTCCTCTTATATTTTCTGCCCATAATCTCTTGCCCCAGGTATCCACTGTGGTCCCCCTGGCAGCTTTTACACGTCGGGCCTGCCACTGCCTCCCATGGCTCTTGCCGGCCTGAGATCTGAACTGGGCCGCCTTCCCTGCTTCACCTCTGAGTCAGATGATACAGAAACCAGCCCTTCGGGCAGCCCAAAGATGGCCGAACACTGCAAATCAGTTCTGCTCTGCTCCTTCCAGTGCAAGGGAAGATAATGGAAGCTGGGCTGCTTCCTCCGCAACACACAGTCGTATGCCAGGGAGGGATGGGGGAAGGGCAAATACAAATGACATAAAAACTATTTTGAATGTGGTTTTTTTCTTGATTGGGTGTTCACTTGGTTGCTATAGACCTTGGGCTGGTTTCCAGAGCTCCTAGTGAGTGCCCAGTTGTTTTGTTTTTTTTTTTCCTCAATGTTTCCTCGGGGAAATGTGGGCCTGGAGCTTCCTGGTCTGCCATCTCCAATCTCTCTTGATTGGAGAATTCAATCCATTTTACATTGAAAGTACTTACTGATAAGAAGGGAGTTACTTCTGCCATGTAAACTTTTTTTTTTTAGGTTCCTCATTTCCTCCATTACTGCCTTCTGTGTGTGCTTCATTTTTTATAGTGACATGGGGATTACACTTGACATCCTAATGTTACAACAACTAAACTGAATTTATATCAACCTAATTTGAGTAACATACAAAACTCTGCTCATGTACTGCTCTGTCTCCCTTACTGTTATTGACATCACAAATTACAACCTTATACATTATGCACCCAATATTAGCAGTCGTTAATGGACCTTTTAAATCATGTAGAAATAAAAAGTAGAGTTACAAACCATCATTAGAATATAATAGATTTTGTAATTGTCCATGTATTGACCTTTACTGGAGATCTATAGTTCTTACAACTTCAAGTTGTAAGATGCTTAGTGTTCTTTTAAAGAAGTTTATTGTTCAGTGTTTCAACCTGAAAGACTCCTTCTAGCATTTCTTGCAAATAATGATAATGAACTCCCTCAGCTTTTATCTGGGAAAGTATTAATTTCTTCCTCATTTCTGAAAGACAGTTGTTAGACATAGAATTCTAACAGGTATTCTTTCTTTCAGCAATTTTAATATATAAGCCCATTCCCTTCTGATTCCCAAAGTT